TGTTTTCAAATGTGACTTATTTCATACATAATCTTTAGATTTCTAATGTGATCTTAAATATATACCGCAAGGCCATACTAAAATTAAGTCTGTGTTGAAAACCAATACGATGTCATCAAATGCTAATGCCAAAATGCAACTTCAAATTGCTAAAGATCATTGATGAATTTCTTAAAATTAAATTATTCTCTAATGGAATGAAAAAAATATTTAACGTAACCACGTGCATAAGGGTACAGATTGCACTCATGGTAAATTAAGAAAACTCGCTCAACCTTTCGCGCTTTTATTCTTGAACAAGCATTCCATGCAACTACAGCCCTCTCTTATACACTACTTTCGTTAATTACCTATATTGTTACTGTTTATAAAATTAAATGTCGCCCAGGTCTGGACCCAATTACTTCTCATTGGTGGGTCTTACAAGCATTTATCTTGCCCTTTCCATACTCCTGTTGTGCCTAGCACAAAATTTATTTTACATCTCTCTCTCCCTATACCGTTTCTCGGACATCTGCCCAGATATTGTTTAGTGAATTGCTTTTTGGATAAGGACAGTGGAAGAACGTATATGAGGAAGGAATAATTTACATTCTGCCGGAAGATGTCCTTGTTGAGCTTGGGCCGTATAAAGTGCCAGTGTTTTCTTTTACCACCCACTTGCTTCTTGTAATGCCAGTTGTTGGGTTATTCATTCCAATATTTGGTAACTTTTATCACGAGTGGTTGATCAATTCTACGGTCACATAGGAAAGTGACAATTCAAAAAAGGGCAACACATGTCAAATTGCTGGGTTATCTTGCTTTACGTTTGTTTATTCTCAACTCCCTGAAAATACAATTGAAAAAGTACGCCAAATAAATATTAAACTGTGTTGCTACAGAATGGGCACAGGACTTTCTGTATTAGTTATCTACTTCCTTTGTCTAAGTTAGCTATTCGAACTTGCCATATATTCTTGCCTGCTGCCATCTATCGCAGCCCAAAGTACACTATTTTGACATTTTCTTCATTTGACGCGTATAAATAATGAGACCGGAAATATAGTTTTACCATTATCAAGAACAGTTAAAACCTCGATCTAAATTTTCAATGTTTGTTGAAAAGATAAGAAGCGCCTCTTTTTTTAAAAAAAAAACTGGCGTTTAAGTGCTACTGCGGAATTTGAAAAATTGAAAGCTCTTTGTCAATAGAAAGATTTAAGTTTTTCGAAAAATTTGATTCATTTGAAAGAGCTACATTCAACTGTACAAATACAATTGTGTTTAAAATGTTGGCATACCAACCGGTTGTGAATATCTTTCAAATAATTTTACATATTTGAATTTTTTGAAAAAACAGCAAAATATCCCGAAATTGAAGCTTACGTCAATATTAAAAAAGTGCACATAGAATATCTGTGCGAAGGAAACATTGAAAGCCCCTTTTGAGAAATCGTGGTTTTTGCCTAATTTTTTTTTTAAATTGCAACACAATTCACGCCGATATTGCGTGAGCCTACTAAAAAATAGTTTTAA